TGAGAGGGTTTTAGAGCAAGGAAATGTCCGCCGCGCTCCCTCAATGTGTGTTGGCGAACTTCACATGCCTTCGAAATTTTCTCAGACATGCAGGTTTCCTCACGATGTTTTCCTTCACCACCAAGCACGTGGTAATAAGCACTTAAAATTGCGATTAACAATTTAATTGGTGCTGGCGGGGATCGAACCCGGGTCGCGTACTGTGAAATTTACAGCTAGCGCTAACCATCTGAGTTATCACGGCTTAATCATATACATACACAATATTTAAATAAAATAATACACACACATGAAAATAACAGAAAAAAAGTAATTTAGTCAATAGAATAAACACTTACATCCATAGCCTTTGGTGTATTGAAGTAACACAAATGTACTATTGATAGATCCACTGTAGTCAAACGACCGTACACTAACTCGATGACTGCGTCTGTTGGTCTTATATACCACCAGTACGTAAAAATTCTAATCTAAAGTATTTCCGTAATGAGTTGATAATTACTTTATGCGTCAACCAGTTTATCTCACATTTCCGTTGTCTATCTCAACATTTCTTCGTATTGTGTTTTGTTTGGTGATCAATGACTCAAGTACGATTTGTATAACACAAAAATGCAATTTAATATTTAGAAATCACTATAATTGACCATTCCTATGTTATTCATTGAGTAGATTGGTACTGTAATAATGTACTAATAGCAGTAATATCATGGATACACTAGATGTACAACAACATCTGAAAAAGATTCACCCCAGTCTAGAAAATAATGTTTATGCAGCTAATAGACTGCCTATGTATACCCACGTACCAACGTATATAATATGTAATTTGGATACAGATGATAAACCAGGGTCACATTGGGTAGCTTTATATATCGATACGAATGACGTCGGTCAATATTTTGATTCATATGGACGATCACCTGCACGATATCATCTAGAGTTTTTAAAAAGGAATTGTAAAAGATGGAACTGGAATGTTGATAGGATTCAGAATGAGTGGACTTCAGTTTGTGGCGAATATTGCTTAATGTATTTGCTATATAAGTTTCAAGGATGTTCAATACATAGTTTTACGAGTATATTTACAAGGAACACATTGTACAACGATATTTTAGTGGATGAGATGTTTCGCTCCTATTTTATAGATAATAAGTAATAAGATTTTGTATTTTATAAATAAAAATTGTAACAAAATTATGTAATGTGTTTTATTGATGATTCAGATTAGCGTTGTATAATTAGGAACAAAGAAGTACAATACAATAGCACTGATATAGTCGACGCACACGCTGCAATGAAGGTGATTAATGAACAATAGAACAATAGAAATAGGAACAATGGGACGCTAATGACGGTGGAGGCCCTTACCGGATATCAATTAGATATTAGCTAATTGATCTGCACATCTCCGGAACCGTGCATCCTACGCAAAAATGGTCCGCAGATTCGTGATCAGAGCATGCCAAAACCTTTTTTTTTTTTTTAGGATCGTGTGTCGACGAACGTCGTTGAACTGCTTCTGACTCAGGTGGTCCAGAAGTGGTACAACTACACTACTAAGGATGTTTTCCTTTACCGACTTTCCTGAACTTTACCACCTCGTCACGTACATTAAGACTATCCCAGATATATTTGTTGAGTATGCAGTCTCGCTTCGTAACGTCGCATATAGTGCGCAATAGTTTTCATTTCCATAACGAGGAGCTTTCGGACATATCAGCACAAGATCGACCTCACTACCATGAACATTCATCATCATCATCATCATTACAGCCTTTCATAAGTCCACTGCTGAACATAGGCCTCCCCCAAGGAATGCCATGAACAATAACAAAGAGTATTATGTTCTTGCTGTATTAATAAATGTTCCTCAACGATGAATCATTTAATACGCCAAGTGCGTAATTACGATATCAGCATCCTTAGATGGTTGCTAATTAATAAACACATAAAAACAGTATCTCAGTTACCAAGATCAGCTCCTCAAGAGGCTGTACTTGGGATAGTTTTCTGTGACTTGAGTTCTTGTTCTCGTAAACGATCATCACACGGTATAAAGTTGTTTTCTACTTAAGAAAGCCTTAAATAGTTAAAACTGCTGTGTATGTATTTCTAAATACGACTTAAATGTCTACTAGTTAACTCAATATGTACAAATAACGTAACGCATTAAAACTACAGCGTTAGTGTCGGTCAACAAGTGCTAAAATTAAAAATTTTGTACAACTGACTTCAATATAAATAAAATGAGAACATCATCAATGTAGTCTAAGTCAATTAAATACGCATTATTAAAGATAACCAAAAAAACTACTGGTCAGATCTTGATCAAATTTATATGGAACCACATGAGAAACAACAGATTTCAAATAAAAAAAAATCAGTAAAATCGGTTCACCTAGAAAAAAGTTCTGAGGCAACACACGTAAAAAATACATTCGTATTGAGAACTTCCTTCTTTTTTTGGAGTCGGTTGAAAAAGACACGGCACCATACATCTGCTTGCTTAAAACGTAGTGATTTTAAACTCTTTGCTTGTTTACTTATAACATCACTGATTGCGTTATAATATATTTTATACAAAGATTGAGAAAAAAATGCTTACTCAATATTATAAAAAATATATAAATAAATATACTCGATATTATAATATATAAAAATATAGAGCTGTGGTGGAAAATAATGAGACCGATAGCGCGTCTCAAAAGGATTTTAGTATACTATATCAATTGCAAAGATTTTAGTGAACCATTTTGCGAAGTCCGTAAAATATAATAATGGTAATAGTGCTCTATCTCATCGTAATAATTAATTTTACTCAAAATATTTTAAACTCCATGATTCGCGCTACTACAATCACGATCTCAAGTCACCCACCGCCAGCACTCAGATTTCAGCTTCTCAAGTACATGCCACAGAATACCAGCGCAAAATAGTAGCTTAATGTTGCTGTGTTTCGTTATTGTGAGTGTAGAGAACCGGATACTCTTTTTACAGGATACGAGGCATTACATCTTAGTCCTCAGGGATGACAAGTGAAAACGCATCTGCATTTTGATTCTTAATCGAGGATAAACGTAGATGACGATGGACCACAGTATCCACTTACCATCAGGTGAACTAATTTAATTTAACTGGGCTTCACACTAATTAGTTTAGACAACATCGTTTGTCACCCTTATTCTATAAAAAAAAATGAACAAAGTACACGCACCTATTGAAAAGTATCTCAGATAAATAACTTCCAAGCTGCGACGGTACGGACTCTAACTTCGTCTATCGTAATCCCCGGATTCATGCAGTACAGATCCAAGGTATCTGAATTTCACCGTTTTCAGAACATATTCGTAGCCTATTTTGATGGATTCAGAATCACACTTTCTCAAGCCACTGTACTTAGTCTTGACCACAATTACTTTTAGTCCGCCGTTCTAGAGCGTGCCTTTACATAAATTCACTTTTTGCTCCAAATTCTGTTTCCGCTAACGAGTGCGATTTCATCAGCATAAATGAGCAGATTAGGTGAATCCTTGATATCTGATGTAATCGAATCGAGCATTCGTTGAACAAAAAGGGGCTAAGAGGTTTCTGAATTCGGAATGCTTTCAAAAATATTTTACTGCGCAAAAGATTTTATAGTGCCGCAAATGAACATTCACACAGAGGCACTAACTAATACCTAATACTACCAGATCCTATCCCACTTGTATACAAAGTATATAGCCAAAGTTATCAGTTATTAAGTTTTTATGTTAAAAATTTCTCAGTAGCAGCCCACACTCAGAAAACGGGAATTGTTTCACCCATGCGCCTGCTCTCTCTCCTGTAATTTTTTTTTATAGGATAAGGGTGACAAACGAGCACACAGTCCACCTGATGGTAAGTGGTTGCTGCGGCCCATAGACATCAACATCTATCCTCTATTACAAGTCAAAATGTAGATACGTTGTCACCCGTGAGGACTAAGATGGAATGCCTCATTTCCAGTAAAAAGGGCCTCCGGCCACCTGCACTCACCAAGCGGATACGCAGAGGTAAACCTCTACTTCACGCTGGTTTTCTGTGAGGTAGTGGTACAGCAAAAGCTGCCGCGTGGCTCTACCACTGTTAAAATTTTCATGTCGGATTTCCGTAGCATTGGGCTATGAGAGTGAGAGAAAAGTACTATAATTCTGTCCTGTTATTAAATGGCTAGTTTCCGTTGAGACCGGGCATCGTAACCAAAAATCCATCGGCAGGACATTATAATATAGTCAGAACTGGCAAACGGTAACATAGCAGTGCAGGCCCTGCTTTGTGGCGAGAAAAATATGTAGGAGGGTGATATCTCTCCAGACGCACTCCGTGGCAGAAAATGACCCCTACCACCTAAAATATTACATACATAAACACTCACGTCTGTCACCCAGGGGACTAGGCAGAGATTATGGACTTCCATTTGGCACGATCCTGACACAACTCACACTCTTCCTCCAGATCCATATAATATTGGCGGACTTCACATATCATCGAAATATTTTAAATTGTTCTGACATGCATATCTACGTGGTAGAGCCATGCTGCAACTATATTATGGTTGTAGCACGAATGGGTCGGCTCGACCGGGAAAGGACCACGCTCTCACAGAAAACCAGCGTAAAATAGCAGCTTAACGCTGCTGTGTTTCGTATGGTGAGTGTAGAGAACCGGAGACCCTTTTTACTGGCAAAGAGGCATTCCATCTTAGTCCTCACGGGTGACAACGCATCTGCATCTTGAGTCTTTATTGAGGATAGATGTAGATGTCTATGGGTCACAGTAACCACTTACCATCAGGTGGACTGTGTACTCGTTTGTTACCCGATCCTATAAAAAAAATGCAACTTTCCAGATGTTTTCCTTCACTGCCTACCCGAATAACTTGCTAACAATATATGGTTGATAACTATTAAATAATATGTATTTGATTGGTAATTTCGGTCTATTTAAGAAATAATTTTAATTCATTTTTGTTTCAGTAACCGCAGAGAGCTGCTATTACCAGCGTTGTTTGGGCTGTTACCCACAAGAAACTGAATGGCACGGTTCACCTGTTGAGTGCCATCCTTCAAACTGGGTGTCAGCACAATGGTTTCACAACATCGGCCATCTTCCACCGACAACAGATTCAAAAATTCCTATAGAATATCGCTGTTTAAAAATGGTCGCTACACCGGATAATAAATCTTGTATGTTTATATCAATTCTGCACATTGCTAGACCTCTATGCTGGGACTAAACAATATCGACTACGGCAACAACTTCGTAATATTGTTGGTACCTACTCTAACTACGCAGTAAGTTACAGCCTAGGCATAGCAGGCCACCTCTCATTTCTGAGACGATTTTAGAGCGAAGAAATGTCCGCCGCGCTGTCCCAATGCGTGGTGGCGGACTACACATATCTTCGAAATATTTTTTTTTATTTCTTCGACATGCAGGTTTCCTAACGATATTTTCCGTTACCGCCAAGCACGTGGTAACTTCGCAATAGATCTAGTATTTAATCTATACATATAATAAATCTGTAGAAAAATTGTGTTCACGATTCACACAAAAACTATTGGACGGATGATTACATGAAATTCGGTGTGTAGGCAGTAAATGATTGTGTATAACATATAGGCAACTTTTTAACCACTTACGGAAGATTAAAAAAGAAGGGTTATTTTATTTACTTTTTTTAAGTTTATTGTCATAATTGTTGCTGATGGTTCTATTAGTCATAAGAGGATTTAGCTATACGCATAATAAGTCTTAAAAAAAGTGTATGTGTTAAAACTGAAAATGAAACTGATCACGCTACCAACCAGAAAGGGCAGAAGAACGTCCACCGGGCGAGCTAGTATAGCATAAGATAGAGCTAGCATAGAAGTTAAAAAGAAAACCATACAATGGTTGAAAACTTTAAATTACAATGAAACCGAAACACTTTTAGAAAAAAATTACTTATCTTGTTACTCATAATTAATAATTTACTAAATATACCATACCTCAACATGCACACACCACATACACATACACTACACAATCACACAACTCACACCTACAGATATTTTATTGTAAAAATACTATATAAGTTTTACTACACGTCAAAATGAGCCGTGTAGTGGCGGTCAAGAATATCCACTACCCCATATCTTCCCGTGGGTGCCGTAAAAGGCGACAAAGGGAAACAGGCAGGAGATGGGCAGCAGCATCTTCCTGATAACAGCAAAAATTAGAATTAAAAAAATGCGGTTGCAAACCCGCTCGCCAAGCGTGGCAACTATGGCAATATACCCCCTATGAGCAATGACAATAATAAACGGCTCCCAGTCCCCGGCCATCCCGCTATTCCTGGCTACGGTGGCGACCATGGTAACGGCGGGGCAGTGGGTGCTAAGAATCTCCGGTGGAGGTTCGGTTGCCACCTAAGACGACTTGACCTGGCAACATATAACGCACGCACCCTGAGGACTAACGAGAAGATCATGGAGCTGGAAGAAGAGATAGACAAGTTACGCTGGCATATTATAGGATTATCCGAAGTCCGAAGGGAGGGGGAGGACAGGGTAATCCTCGAATCCGGCAACTTACTCTATCACCGGGAGGGCGACCATCTGTCCCAAGGAGGTGTCGGATTTATCGTCCACAAGTCTCTCGTTAACAACGTTGTAAAGATCGGGAGTGTGTCGACGAGGGTTGCGTACCTTATACTCAGAATCACCAAACGGTATTCGCTGAAGGTCATACAGGTTTACGCACCAACCTCGGCACACCCCGATCAGGAGGTGGAGGAAATGTATGAGGATATCTCTAGAGCCATGCATTCCTCCAAATCCCAATATACGGTGCTAATGGGAGACTTCAATGCAAAACTAGGCACAAGAGAGAACGGTAAGCTGAAAGTGGGGAAATTTGGAATAGGGCAACGGAACCCAAGAGGCCAGCAGCTGGCCGACTTCATGGAGAAAGAGGGACTCTTTATGATGAACTCTTTCTTCCAGAAGCGACCCCACAGGAAGTGGACCTGGTCGAGCCCTGACGGTTCGACAAAAAATGAGATTGACTTCATTATGACGGCCAGACGACAACGGTTGAGTGATGTCTCCGTGATCGCGAGGGTGAAAACTGGTAGCGATCACCGAATGGTTAGAGGCACACTGAACCTAAACCTTAAGTTGGAGAGGTCTCGTCTATTGAAGTCAACGCTCCGTCCCCCTCGTGCTCTGTTCCAAAGTCCCGAAACTTTTCAGCTCGAGTTACAAAACCATTTTCAGTGCCTAGAAGACTACAATGAAGTGGACGATATGTATGACAAGCTCGTGGAAACTGTCCATGCGGTCGGACTAAGTTCTACAAGACCCGCCGCAGAAGAACACAAAAACTCTCCGATCACACTCTTAATCTCATGGCTGTTAGACGGGAGATGAAGCTACATTCTTCAACAGATTTGACAGCATACAGGCAACTGAACAGACAGATCTCCAAATGCGTGCGGCGGGACTTACGCAACTTCAATACAGCTTGTATTAAAGAAGCGATCGAGCGGAACCAAGGTCGTTGCCAGAGATCTGTCTGCCAGAAAGAGCCAACTGTCAAAGCTGAAGACCAAGTGTGGCAGCATCGTTTCCGGGGCACCTGAGATTGAGTGAATGTGCGAATGAAGTGATGAGTGAGAGAAATTGATTGAGTGAGATTGAGAGGTTCTATGGACAGCTGTACACGTCATCGTTGGAGCCACTCGCAAGTGTGAGTAACGATCCAAGAGCGAGTCTTATCCGACACTATTCCGAAGATATCCCGGACGTCAGTCTGAGCGAGATTAGAATAGCTCTCCAGCATCTTAAAAACGGCAAGGCCCCAGGCGAGGGTGGAATTACAGCGGATCTTCTGAAATCGGGTGGAAGACCGGTACTTGAAGTCCTTCAGAAGCTCTTTAATTCCGTCCTCCATGGTGGCATTACACCGGAGGCGTGGAGCAGAAGTGCGGTGGTCTTGTTCTTCAAGAAAGGTGACAACGCTGTCTTGAAGAACTACAGACCGATTTCCCTTCTGAGCCACGTCTACGTGCTGTTTTCGAGAGTCATTACGAATCGTCTCGCGCGCAGACTTAACAACTTCCAGCCTCCAGAACAAGCCGGTTTCCGAAAGGGCTTTACCACCATAGACCACATACATACCCTTCGGCAAGTTATACAGGAGTCCGAGGAGTACAATTTGCCACTATGCCTGGCGTATGTGGACTATGAGAAAGCCTTTGATTCCGTCGAAATTTGGCCGGTGCTGCAGTCCCTTCAGCGGTGCCAAGTTGACTGTCGGTATAACGAAGTGCTGAAGTGCTTGTGCAGTAGAGCTACGATGGTTATCCGAGTACAGAACCAGAGTACGAAACCTATCCAATTGCAGAGAGGTGTAAGACAGGGTGACGTTATATCCCCGAAACTCTTCACCGCTGCATTGGAAGACGTTTTCAAACTTCTGGACTGGAAAGGATACGGTATTAACATCAATGGCGAGTACATTACTCACGTTCGATTTGCCGATGATATAGTCCTTATGGCAGAATCGCTGGAGGACCTAAGCACTATGCTCAATGACCTCAATAGTGTCTCCCAACGGATAGGTCTTAAGATGAACATGGACAAAACAAAGATTATGTTTAATGTCCATGTCACACCTATGCCGTTAGTTGTTGGGAGCACTAAGCTCGAAGTTGTTGACGAGTATGTTTACCTGGGACAAATAGTCCGACTAGGTAAGTCCAACTTCGACCGAGAGGCCAATCGACGGATTCAACTCGGCTGGGCAGCGTTCGGGAAGCTACGACACATCTTCTCGTCAGACATACCTTAAAACCTGAAAACGAAATTGGACAACCAGTGCGTGTTGCCAGTGATGACTTACGGAACTGAGACGTGGTCCTTCACTACTGGCCGTATGAAGAAGCTGAAGATCGCTCAGCGAGCTATGGAGAGGGCTATGCTCGGAGTTTCTCTGCGTGATAAACTTAGGAATGAGGATATCCGCAGTAGAACCAGAGTAACCGACATAGCCCAACGGATTAGTAAGCCGAAGTGGCAGTGGGCCGGCCATATAGCTCGAAGAACCGACAACCGATGGGGAAGAAAGGTTCTTGAGTGGCAGCCTCGTACCGGTAGGCGAAGTGTGTGTGTCTATGTTCAGCAGTGGACTTATGAAAGGCTGTAATGATGATGATGATGATGATACGTGAAAAATCTATATGTTACCCAAATTCTAAACACTAATTTATATAAATAAAGGACGGGAATAGCGGAGCCTCCTAACACAAGTTTCCTAACTAAGTATTACTGGTCCGAAAGTAAAGATTTTTTTTAGTGTTAATATATTTTAAGTGTCGCAGTATTCGTACATATTAAATAGTACAATAGTACATATATATATATATATATATATACATATCATCATCCAGTCCACTAAGACCAGACAGAGAGAGGATATCATTTCCCGCTAATAATATGGTGTTAGCGTGAGTTTGTGTTCTTTATAAGTTGAGCATGGTTTTGGCGTCAGTTGAAATGCATTGGATTCCATCTTTCTTTCTTAATTTGAGCCAGTCCATAACAGGCGGGTTGTACAAGGTCAATAGACAACAGTTGAAAATGATGTCTAAAATAAACCAATATTGTATTTTAGCCGTTAAAAAAGATAAAAGAATACCTGCAGTTCCTTCTCCGGTCAGAGGAACTTATCTCTTCTTTCGTTTTTCAAACTAAAAAGGATATTTTAAGTTTTTACGGCGAAGTAATATAGATATTTCATTTAACTGGACTTCGCAGTAATTAGTTTAAATCATAGATAAGGACAAATTTATTTATAATCGGGAGGATAGATAAAAAGGGGCATAGGGTAAGGCGCTTCGTAAACGTAGACACTTTTTGCTAGCGAAACGGCACACCATCACAGCAAACGCTAGTTGCTGTGTCCGCCAGCAGCAATCGGACTCAGTCGCCAGTTGCTACTTGTGGTCACTGGTAACAATTCATTGCTTGTTATCCGTCAGTTTCACCACAGAGTACTTTTTATAAACTGGAAAGTTTCACGTTGGATGTCGATGAACAAACATTACTTTTGCTTATTGTGTTGATTATACGTCGACGTAGACGTCGTCGACGTCAATTTTTATTTATGTTGCTTGTTTTTTCAACTGATGACTTTTAGTTACCAGTTACTTACTCCGAAGACTTTGATTGGCAATCGGTATGATAAAAGCATCTGCGTCTGCGCTTTATGCGATTATATGAAAATAAAATATTCTCTGGTAGCTTGTATCCCACACAAGACACAAGTGTCTAAGTTTGTACAGCGTCTAAATAACAAACAAAAAAACTACAAGTACACTCGCTATAACCTGTAGGTAATATAAATATTTTCGCAATTTCTCGTAAAAGTAACAACTGAAGATGAACTTCCTTTAAATTTTAGCGTTCTTAACGCTAAGTTTTTTTTTTCAGTTGGTAACACAGTTGACGTTATCCGGGGCTGCGTGCCACGGCCACAAGTAGATTCGGTCTGCCTCGGTTTAGTAGCAGTAGAGCGTGCCAGGGGCCACAGCGACGCGCGCTGTACAATTTGCAACAGGAACAATTGTAATGCAGCCGTGCGTATAGATGCCATGATAGCAACGCCTATCGCAATTCTCATACTCTATTACGTGTTGAGGTGAAGGACAAATTTATTTAGCAAATAAATATTTATAATAAAGTGTGTTGTATTGTGTACTTCGCAAATAAAAAACATTTTTAACAAGCTTTAGTATTTATTGTATAATGTATTTAATGTTGCAAATACCTATTTAAAATTAAAACATCTTTAATACTTAATATACATAATGTATTAAAATCCCTGTCCTGTTACAACCTTTTCAGAAACAATAAAAAAATCCTGGATGACATTTCATTAAAAAAAATGTAAAAATAATTTAGACTAGATTATATTTACTAACCACTTCTTAACAGTGAAATCATTAAGCTTATTAAATGCAAAATCGATTGTGCTAGCGCAAAGCATTGAGCTATTTACTTCAATGGCGCAAAGTGATATGTTGAGTATTTTATTTTAAAGGTTAAAAAATTGACGTCACACTAACCAAGTTTTTTTTTTTAATCTTAACTGAAATAGTCACATTAATAATTAGCAAAATGTCTATGTTATAATATCTAATGTAATAATTATAATATGAGTGTTACAATTATTTATTATTGTGAAGAGGATATACCACTAACCAAATATAATTTTCTATCTTAAATTTAAAATCACAATATAGAGGTTGTTTTAACAAACCTTACGTAATAATATATTATGCTATAAAATATGCTGTACCGATTTTATTCAACCAATATATTTCTAATATTCTATATTGTTAATAGATTTTATGTAATTGCAACACCGCCTAGTCTCATTGGAAGTTTTGTGATTGTAATATAATTACAATAAATTATATTAACTGACAGTGTAAATATTAAGATACACTATGTTACTACGCGCAGCTGGTTCGTATCACATAAATATTTCTGTACAACAACAAAATCACAGATATTCACGGGTTTATATATACTGTTTTATTATACATATAATAACTAGATCTAATACAGTTTTGATGGAGCAGTACTTAATGTAAGTACATAAACTGCTTTTTTTATCTTAACTTCTAAACATCACTGTCATACAAAGGTACTGTTGGCATACATATACAGCGCTCAAGAGACTGAGAAATAATAATACTTTAATATTCTTAAACTATTAATGATGAAATAATAATGCTAAAGTTTATCAAAAAAAGCTTTTTTTTTAAATACTCTTATAATTTATCAAGACAATCACAACTGCAAAATTTGTACGTTTATCAGTCTAGTTATTTTTCTTATTTCATAATGCAATGTACTGAAATCTTCATCAAAATGCTTTTTGTTCGTTAATAAACATGAATGCTTGTAACTTGGAGCTTCTAATTATTAGTCCTAAAGTACTTTTACTGCTTTGTTCAGTTGCTTACTTAAACATCAGATCTTTAATGATACAAACTTTCAAATGACATTTCCTACCGCCAAGGTACTCGCTCGAAATGCCATATTTGCTCATCTGTTTTGATACATCTCTTTGCTGTTAATGGAGTGTCAGTAACATCTGCGCTGTGATTAATTACTAACGTTAGACACAGACCGTCAATTGTTTTCAACCTTGGTCCTTCTTGCTTCCAAATCTGTTTTCTATTGTCACCGCAACTTTTCCACACAGCCCGCCCATTTCCTTGCTCCAAGCATAATCCCTCATCAGCCATAATTTTACCTTCTTGAGTATAAACTAATAGACTATCAAGATCCAAATCGCTGCCACAACGCACCTTTGACGCTGGCCCACCAAGGCCAGGAGTTCCGGATACAACGCCTATACAACCGCCTTTATCATTACGAATTCTTCCAAACCATCTATCCTTTGTAGGGAAAAAATGCTGTGGCCACACATTCGTCAGGTACCATTCGAAGCTCTTACATTTTAAGTTCTTACGCAGGTCTACTCTGTCACCTACTTCCTGCTGATCACGTATTGCGGCTACTGCAGGGTTGAATTTAAAAAAGAAATCAGCCCATTCGTCCATCCAAACTGATGCTGCTCTGGCTAAATTTGCATTCAAGACTTTGGAGACCCCTCCAGGATATTTGTAAGGGCTGTGTCTTCTAAATATATGTCCGACACGGGAACATGGGGTTATTTCGACCCTTGCGCCACACTGCCAGGCTCTCCAAGAAAGTTCCAAATTTTCGGCACCCCAAATCAACATGCCCTCGTCATAGCCCCCTAAACGCCAAAACAAGCTTTTTCTAACTGCAAAAAGACCACCGGCCATTGCAGGTGTTGGATAGGGTTTGGAGGGATTTTCAGATTTATGAATCATAACCTCGGTACTCGGCATTAACCAGCGAAAATGAAGGCGCCAACTGAAAGCACCCCAGTGAGCGTCGATGCTCTTCGTATAAGCTAAAGTATCTTCCGAAAGCAGATCTATATGAGGACAAATAAAGACATCGTCGCTGCCCGCTCTTTCCAGTAATGGCTCAAGCCACCCATACGTTACCTGTAATTGAACATAAATAAATTTATATAATGTAATTGGGTTAAACATATAGTGGTGGTGTAAGAATATCCACTACCCCACATCAAACCGAGGGTGTCGTAAGAGGCGACAGATCGAACCCTCCTCCCACCCCCTCCCAAACCCATTCCACCCCTGTACTTGCGTACCGGATGTCTACAGTTCTACCATTTTCAGAAGAAGACCTGCATTTTGCATCTGCCTTGTTCTGAATACCGATTTTATTTTAATTAGGGGTGCTTTGTCATTGCCTATACTTGCAGCACCTAATTAGCACTTAACTCCTTGCTTTGAATATTTATCGTATATCTAATAATTTCATAGCGTTGCTAATTTTAACAGTTCGTTGCGGTGAAAATTTTAGAGCACCTAATTCTTAAACTTGGCACCTAATTAGCACCTAGTTAGCACATCATCATTACAGCCTTTCATAAGTCCACTGCTAAACTTCCTCCCCCAAGGAATGCCACAAAGCACGGTCCTGAGCCACCTGCATCCATCGACTTCCTGCATGTCTTACCAGGTCACTCCATCTAGTGGGGGGTCGCCCTACACTTCGCCTACCGGTATGAGGCTGTCACTCGGGAACCTTTCTTCCCCATCGGTTGTCAGTTCTTGGAGCTATATGGCCAGCCCATTGCCACTTCAGCTTACTAATCCGTTGGGCTATGTCGGTTACTCTGGTTCTACTGCGGATATCCTCATTTCTAAGTGTATCACGCAGAGAAACTCAGAGCATAGCCCTCTCCATAGCTCGCTGAGCGACCTTGAGCGTCCTCATACGGCCAGCAGTGAAGGACCACGTCTCTGATCCATGAGTCATTACTGGCAACATGCACTGGCAACAAGCGTCAATCAGTTCGATCAATCATGATTGACGTTTGCATGATAGAATAATTTCGACATTACACGCTCATTCATGCTGACTGATGTCAGTCAAACCCAAATTTTCGGAGAGAAAGGACCTACCTTTAAACTAAGTTCATTTTCGATTCACCGTTTAACTGTAATTTAATATCTTGAAAAGAAAAAGAAAAAAAAACGAATAGGAAAAATTGTAATATTTAATATCATTTTACCCATTTTAATTTAACGCGCGTCAATGTACGACCTCTTGGAGCGCATAATCGATACGCGGTTTTATTTGAAACGCATTTATGGACGAAAAATAAGCTTACTATATACTATAAGTTATGATTTTTTCATTTATGTTCTTAAGTTATAGTAAAATTAGTATTATTAAGTTGTTGTTAATTACATTTATTGTTTGTTTTTGTCTTTCTCAAATAATAATTAAATATTGTATGCTGTTCTTAACATATACCAAATGTCTGAAAAGCAAGTACGTATCATTTGCTAAACTTTTAAATCAAAAACCAATATTAAAATATAGACAAATTGATCATAACTTCCTTAACTATAAAATAAGTTATGTTCTAATTAATGGTATTTATTCCAGTTTATGACAGTACGTGGCTGAAATTAGGTACTTCTTATTATGTACGTCAACCAAATAACAGCGGGGCGGCTGTAATTGAGCACTCCATACATTTCGTATATCTAATTACAGCTCCATTAATTTCCACTAAAATAAAATAAAAACCTTATAGATTTAAACAAAAATAGCTGCATTACTATGTCTATAGTCACATTCATACAAATCAAAAGGCCTAAAGATGAGCTAATGTAAAATATTATGCTTAATTGTATCGGGATCATAACTTGTCAAAAATTAGGAAAATGAGCGTATTTCGTTGTGTACGTGTTTTGATTTTTAATTTAACACTGTTAGGCTTAAAACTGTGAGGTAATATTTGAAATATACTTTCCTCTAGTTACAAAGAATTTTTTAGCTGACAATATTTGTAGTTAAGACTACTAGAAATCTTATTTACAAAGTAAAAAGGTGGAAAGGCTGGAATTAGGGGTGTGGCTGGTTTTAGGTTCGTCCACCCTACCCGGGGTTTTACGTGTCCCACAACTCGGGGAGAGCCTCAAAATTTAAAATAAAATCTTTTTCTGGCTGAAGCACGTTTGGCGGGAGAGGCGACGGGCTGCGCGAGCGCGTGGAAGCCGCCTCTTCAATATATTCCGCGTCCGCCTCTATTGCTGTCTGAGCGTTGACTGACGCGTGATTGACGAAATGCCATTACACGTTCAATCAAAAATCGTGACTGATAGTTGATTGACGTAAAAATCAAAATATCCAGATATTTGTCAATCAATTTCATGCAACCGTCAATCACCGCATTACACGGTAGGTTATTCGTCAATCACAACCGTGATTGTTGTAAAACTGACAGCAAAACCTACCGTGTAATGGGCGTCTATGTGGTCCATGGTACTAAAGCCTTTTCGGAAACCGGCTTGTTCGGGAAGCTGGAAGTCGTCAAGTCTGCACGCGAGACGCTTCGTAATGACTCTCGAAAACAGCACGTAGACGCGGCTCAAAAGGGAAATCGGTCTGTAGTTCTTCAACAGAGCATTTTCGCCTTTCTTGAAGAACAAGACCACCGCATTTCTGGTCCACGCCTCCGGAGTAGTGGCACCATAGAGGACGGAATTAAAGAGCTTCTGAAGGACTTCAAGTATCGGTTTGTCACCCGCTTTCAGAAGCGCCGCTGTAATTTCATCCTCACCTGGGGCCTTGCAGTTTTTAATGTGCTGGAGAGCCATTCTAATCTCGCTCAGGCTGACGTCCGGGATATCTTCGGAATAGTGTCGGATAAGACTCGCTCTTGGATCGTTACTCACACTTGCGTGTGGCTCCAACGATGATGTGTACAGCTGTCCATAGAACCTCTCAATCTCACTCAAAATCTCAGGTGTCCCGGAAACGATTCTGCCACACTAGGTCTTAAGCTTTGACAGTTGGCTCTATCTGGCAGAGAGATCTCTGGCAAAGACTGAAGCCTTGGTTCTGCTCGATCGCTTCTTCAATACAGCTTGTATGACTGTGCGAAGTCCCGCCGCATGCATTTGGAGATCTGTCTCTTCATTTCCCGTCTAACACCCATGAGATTAAGAGTGTGATCGGAGAGTTGTAAGAGTCTTGCAGAACTTAGCTCCGACCGCATGGACAGTTTCCACGAGCTTATCATTCATATCGTCCACTTCATTGCAGTCTTCTAGGCACTAAAAACGGTTTTGTAACTCGAGCTGAAAGGTTTCGGGACTTGGACTATAACACGAGGGGAACGGAGCGTAGACTTCATTAGACGAAACCTCTCCAACTTAACGTGTAGGTTCAGTGTGCCTCTAACCATTCGGTGATCGCTACCAGTTTTCACCCTCGCGATCACTGAGACATCACTGAACAGTTGTCGTCTGGTCGTCATAATGAACTACTTAGCACGACTAATTAGCACCTATAAATCCCCTAATATTGGGTTTTTCTAAATACAAATCCCTGACTGCGTTGCTGGCGAGACACAGCCCAACAGAGGTCAACGTCACTAGATATTGTTAACTGACGGCTGCGAGCGCCGAATGTTTTATTGCCGTGTAACTTTTCCCATTATTTATGTGGTTTAATTTTTTTTATTCTCTGAAAAGGATTGCATGGATAAAACTATATCACAATACTTAAAAACACCCTCACGAATTGGAAAAGATTTTTATTTCATATTTTATTTCACCTTAGTTAATAACACAATTCTAAATATTTCAATTTACACCATTATATATTTGTGACTTTTTTTTTAAATTGAGAACTCAATTACATTTTAATTCAATAATTATATAGCTAGATACAGCTAGATAGTTATTTAAATACATAAAAATAAATACTATAAGATGAGCTGAGCTAATATCTTTAAGGTAAGTCTACCTTTTTTTGCAAATTCCGTATTAACATCCCATATTACAACGATCACAAAAAATGTAACTTACCATTGGCAAAAAATCTAATTACTTTTTACCAAGCACACAGGGTTGGCTATAAACGTCCAGTTAAGCTTGAACCTTTTACACTGTTTTTGAATGTCGCAAATGCGTTTTGAATTACGATAAAAAAAATCGCTAAAAATTGCATATAATGAAACAAGTCACCCATAAAAAAGTTAATTACTCAGACCCAGACAATCCATTCGTGGCCGATGAATTTGATGAATTGAAAGGAAGATGGGACTCATACACAACGAATTGAGACGAAGTGGAGAGCACTCAAGAGGTTTTTCAGAAAACAAAATTGTAACAATTCACATTTCATTTACCACTATCATAGCAGAGTTTAGGGCAACCTAACTTTATAGATAGGATAGGTCGAATCTGTACTAAAACAGAATCAGAACGTCCCGACTCCACATAGTCTACCCCTAGTGTTTTGTAAAGCCGTAGGCGTGGAGAGAGAGCAGACCCCGCCCGCTATAGGAAATCGCAGGCACCTGTGTAAACCGTATCGGCTGAGACTGTTCACCGAAGGCGACCAATAAGCCAAAGCTGCGGTGGTGAGCGTGGTTGGGGTTGGGTTTAGAATCAAGTCGCCTGAATTTGAGGAGTCTGTCACTGTGGGGGGGGGGGAGGTCAAGGGGGCTTATCTCAAGCGCCCCCATGCAATTTTAGCTGCCGGAGCTGCGTCGAAATATTTAATATAATTTTCTAAAAATATTCATAAATCACTAATTAATACCTGAAACGGAACTTTTGAAATTAACAGTAATCAGTAACAGATATACTCGACCAAAGAGTCACTACGTTTATACTCGACTTCGCGACTCGCGTCATAAGCGTCATTCCGTTGCTTCCGAGTTTACGTGATTGTGCTCCTTATTGTTATTATCTGCCTCCTGTTTTTGGACGACTTCGCTACCCCTCTGGAGACCGATGACTTGCTATTTTACGACGTTTTTGGAAATGGTGGAAAGTTAACATTCTGGTGTTTTATTTGATGCAAGAGCGAGCGAAGCGAGCTCGGGACTTGGGGCACCCCGACTCGGACAGGTTAGGTTAGAAGGGGATGGCGGGTTATTTTTTTATAAACCATCCAGAAATAGGAGCCCCGCAATGCGGGGCTCCGTCGACCGAGCTTCCCTCAACTGCGCCACGTTGAGTGGCATTGGGCTACCCTCCCCCAACTTTCTGCCCCCACAAATCAGGTTTATATTGTCAAAAACATTACGAAAACATAATCTCAAAATGAGATTTTTAAAAATTTATAAATAAAAACTGAGCACGTCCGGCAGGAAATGGAAGTGGGGGGTGACTCTACAACTCCCCTCCCCCTCACCCAAATTCAGGCGACTTGATTCTTAACCTTACCCCGTGGTTGCATGTAATTTGCAACGCAAGGGTTGCAGAAGTAACTTTGAGTCAATATTCCTGGGTAAAAAAGTGAGGTTATGCTATATTTTACAAAGAAAATTATTAAATACATGTAACTATATATTTCCGAAAGCGAGGAAGGGTAGGGGCTTCCCCTGAAACCTCCCCCCTCCCTCCTCCCACTCCCGTACGCAAGTATCAGTCGTTTATAGTTTTACCAGCACACATACTAACAAACGGCTTAGGTTGATAGTTTTATATGATAGGATTTATGTTTCGGAACATCTTAAGATTACAAAAATTCAAAAAATTTAACTATCTAATAATTACCTCACAATGAGCATCTAAAAATACCAACACATCCCCAGTAGCTGTTCTGGCACCGATTAATCTAGCGCCAACAAGACCTTTTCTCTCTAAGCTTCTTAATATTTGAACCTTCCCAAGATTAGATACTGCATCGTCCAACTCTTTGCCTAAGTATTTTCTCTCACTTGCATCATCTACAAGAATTATCTGTAATTGTAGCAAAGTATAGATATTCACAAATTCTTAAGATCGCTCTTTATTTAAATATGAATAACATTAATTCTAGTATTTAGAAACATATTCGAGTTTTCAAACTCCACATTGTCAAAATTCTTCGTCATTAACCGACTTCAAAAAAAGGAGGAGGTTCTCAACTTGACTGATTTTTTTTGTGTTACCTCAGAAATTTTTTAGGTAAATCTATTTTGATGACTTTTTATGTGAACGCTGGTGCTTCTCATGTGATCTCATATAAATTTGATCAAGATCTGACCAGTAGTTTTGAGTTATCGTTAATAATGCGTATTACTTGACTTCAACTACATTGATGATGTTCTCGTTTTATTTATATGGAAGTCGGTTGTACAACATTTTTAATTTTATCACTTGTTTTTGTGGCAGTTTGGTAAAACCAAACTTTAAATCTATGATAAACTGTTACACAAATTTTGGCCTATCAACTACAGTTCAAACCAATATAATACCTGTTTTAATAATGTTGGGGGAGATCTCAAAATAACTGACATCACAGTCCTCATCAAAGTAGACCAGGCTTCATTATGGAACACTATAATGATACTTGCTGTTGGCAGATTGTCAATATTATATTGTACTTCTTTGCAACTGAAAATGTCAATATATATATTTCATTAAAAAAAAATTGAGTTTCTTTAAAGCTAGTGAGTACTACAAATGATACTTTGAAATAGTTTGTAACAGCAGCCATTAAATAAAATTTTTCAGTGTAAGAAAATTAAATTTTGTTGAAGTGTCTCAGTGCTATACGTGGTAGAGCCATGCTGCATCTATATAATGCTTGTAGCACAAATGGGTCGGCTCGACCGGGGAAGGACCACGCTCTCACAGAATACCAGCGTAAAATAGCAGCTTAACGCTGCTGTGTTTCGTATGGTGAGTGTAGAGAACCGGAGACCCTTTTTACTGGCAAAGAGTCATTCTTAGTCCTCACGGGTGACAATGCATCTGCATTTTGACTCTTAATCGAAAATAGATGTAGATGTCTATGGGCCACAGCGACCACTTACCATCAGGTGGACTGTGTGCTCGTTTGTCACACTTATCCCATAAAAAAAAACATCCTTTTTTAATTTCATGGAACTTTTCTCAATTAATTATAATAAATTATAAATTTTGGAAGTACCTATCTGGCAAAACTCACTTTTAATTGCAGATAAAAATATTACTTTTTCTTTGATAAACAAGTGCCTTACTTATAATTTCAAAAAATCTCATTAACCTCACACCACAGTCAAAGGATAGTAAAGTAAAACTTGACTATGTCATTTTTATGGTAAAGGTTTATTAGGCTTTAGATCTCAGACTTGGTTTGGTCGCTCCTGTAAGAATGCATTATGCAGTAAGCAGGAGTGCTATCAGGCCTGGGCTGAGGCTTAGGCGGCTCGGGATGTAAACACCAGCATGCTTAAAAAGAAGTATAACTTCGCCTCCAGGTCCTTCAAAAGAGTTATTGCCAAGGCAAAGTTAGAGCACATGCGCAGAATTGGCGAGAAACTAGTTCGCCTTCCTTCGGGAACCCGTGCATTCTGGTCTCTCGCCAAGGCTGTCTAAGGGAATTTCTGTAAGCCATCACTACCATCTCTGCACAGGGAGGACGACTCACTGGCCCACGCCGCAAAAGAGAAAGCCGACCTTTTAGGCTCCATTTTTGCGTCCAACTCGACTCTTGATGACGGGGAGAACACACCACCGACCATCCCGCGGTGTGAGTGCCCCATGCCGGATGTGCGGTTCTCGCAGCGATCGGTCCGCAAAGCACTCCTCTCTCTGGACATCCACAAGTCGAGTGGGCCTGACGGAATCCTCCCAATTATGCTGAGGACGTATGCTCCGGAGTTGGCACCGGTTATAACGCGTTTTTCCGGCACTCCAACTCCCTAGGCGTAGTCCCGAAATCATGGAAGACAGCTTTTGTCCACCCGATCCCTAAAAAAGGCGACCGCTCAGACCCGTCCAAACTACAGGCCTATCGCCATCACCTCCTTGTTCTCCAAAATAATGGAATCCATTATTAACTGCCAGCTCATGCGGTACCTTGAGGATCACCATCTGATTAGTGACCGCCAATACGGTTTTCGTCGGGGTCGATCAGTTGGTGATCTCCTGGTCTACCTGACCCATAGATGGGTCCAAGGGGGAGGCGTTGGCCGTTAGTTTGGACATTGCGAAGGCTCGATCGAGTTTGGCACAAAGCGCTTCTTTCGAAGCTCCCTTCCTATGGGCTTCCCGAGAAATTGTGCAATTGGATCACCAGCTTCCTTGCAGATCGGAGCATCAAGGTCGTTGTAGACGGTGCATGCTCCGACTACAAGCCTATTAACGCTGGTGTTCCACAAGGCTGTGTGCTATCACCAACGCTGTTTCTTCTGCATATCAATGATATGTTGCTAACTCGTAACATTCATTTATGCGGATGACAGCACTGGTGATGCTCTATACACCGGCCGTGTTTCTCGGGAAAACGTCGCCGAGTACCGGAACAAACATGTGTCGTCTCGGATTGGGGGCGACTAAATCTAGTCCAGTTTAATCCTCAGAAGACACAAGTTTGCGCGTTTACCGCTAAAAAGAACCCCTTTGTCGTATCTCCTCAGTTTCAAGACACTCCCCTTGTTGCCTCAGCCAGTATCGGAATCCTCGGCGTCGACATATCGAGTGACGTGTAGTTTCGTTGTCACTTGGAAGAGAAGGCCAAAGTGGCCTCTAAAAAGCTTGGCGTGCTCAGCAGAGCGGGACAGTATTTCATGCCGGCACAACGCCTGCATCTTTACAAGGCGCAGGTTCGGCCTCACATGAAATACTGTTCCCATCTCTGGGCTGGGGCTCCCCAGTGCCAGCTCCTTCCACTTGAGCGCATCCAGCGCAGAGCGGCTCGAATCGTCGACGATAGATCCCTTTCCAATCGGCTCGATTCATTGGCGCTGCGAAGAGATGTTGCATCTCTTTGCATTTTCTTTCGCATTTATCACGGGAAGTGCTCTGAGGAATTGTTCAGATTAATCCCAACCGCCAAATTTCACCAACGCACATCCCGGTATAACTCCCAATATCATCCACACCCTCTGAATGATTGGCAGTCCACCACTGTTCGATTTAGAAGATGTTTTCATCCTCGCACAACTTCCTTGTGGAGTAGTTTACCACCAGCGATTTTTCCGGACCGATACGACTTAGGGACCTTCAAGAAAACAGCCTACTCCTTTTTAAAAGGACAGCAGTGCATCTGCAATTCCCCTGGTTCCCCTGGTGTTGCGGTTGTTCATGGGCGGCGGTAGTCACTTACCATCAGGTCAGGTGAGTCGCATGCTCGTTTGCCCCCTCTCCTATAAAAAAAAGAGGGCACTGACCAAAAGTATTGTTATCAATTTTCAACAACACACCAAAATATAATGAGGATAATTATTTTGAATTTATAAACACTAGTGGTTACAAATTAAACAATTCTTACTTCATAATGCAACATAAAATATAGTTTTAATACTTTATCAAAAATTTAATTACACAATAATTTAAAATTTAAAGTGACTTGCAATACCTTTCACTGCGCACGTCTGGAAGACTTCTGTTAATATTAATTCTATCACCAACTAATATATTATAAGAATGTAGTGCAAAAAGCTCTCTTGCTGTAATTATTTCCCTGGGTGACAACTGAACAGGTCTTCCACCTTCACCTGCTCCCTCAACAGGAGCATAATTGTTAGCATTTATTATTTCTGAAAAGCAAATAAAATAATATAACCTCTTTTAAACCCATTACAGTCTGTCTCAATTTATAAACCAAGTGAATTATTTGCATCCAACCATGAAGCTAATACAAAGGGGAGACGGCATAAGCAACTGTGCACTGTGATTCTAAGTAGGTCCTGACGTCATCATAGTGGGCGTGGCTTTAGTTAGTATACTGTCAGCATCCGTCCTGTGCGCTTATGTGTTGAAAAAATCGCAAATCGGTGTATTTTCGTAGTATTAAGAAGAAAAGGACGAAGTTTTGTGTTTTATTGTGTAAAAACTACTCAGATAGACGCTCTCATGTTATGGATGGCATCACATTTCATTTGTAAATAATTTTTCACCTAATTTATTAAAATAGTTCTAGAAAAATCTCTTTGCGTCAGCTTTCAAATATAATTAAATATATTCGACACTAGATGGCGACACTTTGTATCATGTGAACTAAAAATATAAAGGTCGTAGAGCTCAGTATTGGTAAAATAATCATACGAAGGTGTTGAAATTTGTTTTGCATTCAGACATAAAGAAATTTTAATCGCAAAATATTATTTTTATAGTTTATAATCATTTTTAGAACAGGCCGTATTCTCGTCAAGTAAATGTCATAAAAATGACAAAAAGACAGGGCCCTAATTAGAATTGAATTATTTTTCCCAGTAATCCAACTTTTAATATTAAATGCAGGAAATTGTACTTATGCTTATTTTTACGAAATGTTTAAGTTACATTTAAGTGATATTCTATATGCAAAGAATCACTTAAATACAATTTAATGTTCTTAGATTGGCATTCGAAAAGTGCATTTGGATGCCTAATTTGGAATAAGATATTTATATTTTAATTGATTTGTAAATAAAATTATATTAATTATAATAATTTGTCTATTATTTGTTCTCCCTCAGAGATATTAAGTAGTATAAACCACACATAAATAATAGTCCAGCCGTTTCTGCGTGAAAAAATTACACATATTTAGTGTGGAATAAGCTCAAGGAGACAGAAAGAACACACAAAATTTCGCCTTTATAATATTAGTGAGATAAGTAGGATATTTAGTTCCAAATTAAATATCCTACTTAATATTGAACATAGAATATTTAGTTTCAAAGAGACTTTATTTTATGGATAAAATAAATATTTCTTGAAGGTTGACTTTCACAAAATGATAAACATATTTAAATTGTATTTAAGTGATTCTTTGCATATAGAATGTCACTTAAATATAACTTAAACATTTCGTAAAAATCAGCCAAGTACAATTTCCTCCATTTTAATATTGAATGTTGGGTTACTAGGTAAAATTTTTTTTATTTTTTTTTTTTATATGATAAGGGTGACAAACGAGCACACAGTCCACCTGATGGTAAGTGGTTGCTGCGGCCCATAGACATCTACATCTATCCTCTATTACAAATCAAAATGTGGATGCGTTGTCACCCGTGAGGACTAAGATGGAATGCCTCATTTCCAGTAAAAAGGGCCTCCGGCCACCTGCACTCACCAAGCGAAACGCAGAGGTAAATCTCTACTTCACGCTGGTTTTCTGTGAGGTCGTGGTACCACCCCGGTTCGAGCCGGCCCATCCGTGCGACAGCAAGAGCTGCCGCGTGGCTCTACCACTGTTAATTGAATTCTAATTGCGGCCCTGTCTATTTGTTATTTTTTATGAGGTTTACTTGACGATAGATGGCGGCCTGTTCCCAAAATTATTATGAAAACAATAAAAATATTATTTTGGTGATTAAAATTTCTTTGTCTGAATGTATTTGCTTCATGAGATAGACGCTTCGATGCTATGGATGGCATCACATTTCATTTGTAAGTAATTTTACACCTAATTTATTAAAATAGTTCTGGAATAATCTCTTTGCGTCGGCTTTCAAATATAATATAATTAATAGAATCAGGTGTTACTTTAGTACTTTAGTTAGAGTAGCGGTGCTGGGATTAGTGGTGACGGTGATAGTGCACGCAATTGAGGGAGGGCGGGAGGTGCTTCTTCATACTAGGTAAGACACATCATTTTATTTTATAATGCGGATATTTGCGAAGTAAATTTTTGTAAAAGCTTTTTCAAATATAATTAAATATATTCCACACTAGATGGCGACACTTTGTGTCCTGTGAACTAAAAATATAAAGGTACGTAGAGCTCAGTAATGATAAAATAATCATACGAAGGTGCTGAAATTCGTTTTGCATTCACACATAAAGAAATTTTAATCGCCAATATATTATTTTTATAGTTTATAACATTTTGTGGACATGCCGCCATCTACCGTCAAGGTAGCTAAGCTACATTGTTACATCGATATGGAAAGATTCGAGTAGTTTTACTATTTATCGGTAGATGTAGAGATAGTGTAAAGTGGGCGGGGCTTTGCATCCCCTCACCCCGCAAATTGTCACGCGTTGTTACATAGTGAAATTTAATTAAAACGTCTCCTCTTTATATTTGCTTCATGCATCCAACAGTAAATGGCTAAAAATCTTGAAGATTTGAAAGTTATAATGATGAACAAACAAAAGCAACTGATGAATCCAACTCCACTACAGCATTAAAAACTTTCCACCTCCCTTCACTAAATAGCTCACACTAACACTACTGTAGATGGCCCAGGACTGTGCTTTATGGCAATCTTAAAAGATATAATGTCTACCTGTAAGGGTAGATGTCTTAAGTAATAAACAAATAATATGCTTAACAGCACAACACATTTACGGAGATCCAAGTAAAGTTAATTAATACATTATGATCATCAAAACACCATTTATTTTATAAATTTTTTAAAATCTCTAAGTTATTCCGATACAATAGAGCCTAGATCACTCCTGGCATAGCTTTGTATCTATGTATGAAGTTTCATTACATAAGTTCAACCAATTAGAAGATTAGCCCAGACAAACGGACAGAATTTTTTAAAATGGTTATTTTTGTCTTAATAACATGCAAATAACTCCCTCAGATCAATCAAGAGCAGTTATTTCGACATGACAGACAGACACTTCAGTTATTTTTATATGATGTATTGATATAGATGCACAGATTATGGATGTACTGATGGTGGTTTGAGTACATTTCATGTAAACTTTATTAAAAAAACATAGCTCACCTTGTGACAAATTACCTCCTGAATTACCCCCAACATAATGACCAACAATAACTCTCATACCACTCTTATCTACGTAGGAGTCCTGATCAAAGTGTAACCTAAAAGCAGATTTTGTTAAGATAATGAGTTATTTAAAAAGTACACAAACTGCCTTTGGTAATTATTAGATCTGCTTGAAATTTATATGAGACATATATCTGCTTATCTACCCAGAGATATACTTAGTTATATAGTATTAAATAAATTATAATGGTTCAATTAAATTCTTTATACCATCACAGTGAGATTATAAAAGAAACTGTTAATGACCTCTTATACCACTGATTTTTATGCCTCTTCTTGATTGTATTGTATAATTCAAAACTAACATAAAACATAGCATTTATTAAAAACATTACAATAAATAAGAGAGTGATAATTTTTTTCTTTCGCCCTCTACAAATAAATGATCTGATTTCCTGAAATAAAAAAAAGGTTTAAGTACATAATAATAGGTATAATATTTGATTAATCTAATAATTTTTTAAGAAATATTTTACCATCGTTATTACTTTTGTGAATGATTTTTAATATTTTTAGAAATAAGAATTACTAAACTCATATATATAATACTTTTTCTTTTTGCTAAATAGATAATCGTAGACTGTATACAGTTTTGGTCTGTGGTTTTGGTATACAGTAATCTGTCAAAGATAATTTTAATTTTTAATTTTCCTTTAGGGATGTCGATAATCATCGATGTTAAAAATTTAAACATGAAACATCGAAACATCGATGTCAATGAACCCATAATCGATTATTGGGAACTTGCGAACAATGTGATCCCGCGAAATCAAGTTCAACTAAATCAATGGTTGACTGAGAGAGAATGCCTTAAGTCCGCCATATGTACGATTTTCCTTTTGTGCATAAAATTTTAAATAAATCTTGCATCTGCTTCGAAGATTTAAAATTTTGAATAATTCAGATTTTTTTATAGGATAGGGTGACAAACGAGCACTCAGTCCAACTGATGGTAAGTGGTTGCTGTGGCCCATATACATCTACATCTATCCTCGTTTACGAATCAAAATGCAGATGCGTTGTCACCCGTGAGGACTAAAATGGAAAGGCTCTTTTCCAGCAAAACGGGTCTCCGGTTCTCAACACTTACCATACGAAACACAGCAGTGTTAAGCTGCTGTTTTACGTTGGTATTCTGTGAGAGCGTGGTCATTCCCCTGTCGAGCCGACCCATTCGTGCTACAACTATACTACTAATATGGCTGCAGCACTCTACCAAGTAAAAACATTCTATAATAAAGTATATATATATATATATATATATAGATATATAACATTCTAATTCTAAAAATAAAGTAATTTTATCGAATATATATATATATATATATATATATATATATATATATAGTGCCGTGTAGTGGCGGTTAAGAATATCCACTACCCCATATCCTCCCGTGGGTGTCGTAAAAGGCGACAAAGGGAAACAGGCAGGAGATGGGCAGCAGCATCTTCTTGATAATAATAAACTAACAATAAAAAAAACTGCGGTTGCCAACCCGCTCGCCAAGCGTGGCAACTATGGCAAATACCCCCCTATGAATGACAGTAACAAAGAAACGGCCCCCAGTCCCCGGCGGCCCCGCTATTCCTGGCTACGGTGGCGACCATGGTAACGGCGGGGCAGGGGGTGCTAAGAATCTCCGGTGGAGGTTCAGTTGCCACCTTAGACGACTCGACCTGGCAACGTACAACGCACGCACCCTGAGGACTGACGAGAAGATCGTGGAGCTGGAAGAAGAGATAGACAAGTTGCGATGGCATATTATAGGATTATCCGAAGTCCGAAGAGAGGTGGAGGACACGGTAATCCTCGAATCCGGCAACTTGCTCTATCACCGGGAGGGCGACCATCTGTCCCAAGGAGGTGTCGGATTTATCGTCCACAAGTCTCTCGTTAACAACGTTATAAAGATCGGGAGTGTGTCGACAAGGGTTGCGTACCTTATACTCAGAATCACCAAACGGTATTCGCTGAAGGTCATACAGGTTTAGGCACCAACCTCGGCACACCCCGATGAGGAGATGGAGGAAATGTATGAGGATATCTCTAGAGCCATACATTCCTCCAAAACCCTCTATACGGTGTTAATGGGAGACTTCAATGCAAAACTAGGCACATGAGAGAACGGTGAGCTGAAAGTAGGGAAATTTGGAATAGGGCAACGGAACCCAAGGGGCAAACAGCTGGCCGACTTCATGGAGAAAGAGGGACTCTTTATGATGAACTCTTTCTTCCAGAAGCGGCCCCACAGGAAGTGGACCTGGTCGAGCCCCGACGGTTCGACAAAAAATGAGATTGACTTCATTATGACGACCAGACGACAACAGTTCATTGATGTCTCCGTGATCGCGAGGGTGAAAACTGGTAGCGATCACCGAATGGTTAGAGGCAAACTGAACCTAAACGTTAAGTTGGAGAGGTCTCGTCTAATGAAGTCAACGCTCCGTCCCCCTCGTGCTTTGTTCCAAAGTCCCGAAACCTTTCAGCTCGAGTTACAAAACCGTTTTCAGTACCTAGAAGACTGCAATGAAGTGGACGATATGAATGACAAGCTCGTGGAAACTGTCCATGCGGTCGGAGCTAAGTTCTACAAGACCCGCCGCAGAAGAATACAAAAACTCTCCGATCACACTCTTAATCTCATGGCTGTTAGACGGGAGATGAAGCTACATTCTTCAACAGACTTGACAGCATACAGGCATCTGAACAGACAGATCTCCAAATGCATGCGGCGGGACTTACGCAACTTCAATACAGCTCGTATTGAAGAAGCGATCGAGCGGAACCAAGGCTCCAAAGTCTTTGCCAGAGATCTGTCTGCCAGAAAGAGCCAACTGTCAAAGCTGAAGACAGAATGTGGCAGCATCGTTTCCGGGACACCTGAGATTTTGAGTGAGATTGAGAGGTTCTATGGGCAATTGTACACGTCATCGTTGGAGCCACACGCAAGTGTGAGTAACGATCCAAGAGCGAGTCTCATCCGACACTATTCCGAAGATATCCCGGACGTCAGTCTGAGCGAAATTAGAATGGCTCTCCAGCACCTTAAAAACGGCAAGGCCCCAGGCGAGGATGGAATTACAGCGGAGCTTCTGAAAGCGGGTGGAAAACCGGTACTTGAAGTCCTTCAGAAGCTCTTTAATTCCGTCCTCCATGGTGGCATTATACCGGAGGCGTGGAGCAGAAGTGCGGTGGTCTTGTTCTTCAAGAAAGGTGACAACGCTCTCTTGAAGAACTACAGACCGATTTCCCTTCTGAGCCGCGTCTACGTGCTGTTTTCGAGAGTCATTACGAATCGTCTCGCGCGCAGACTTGACGACTTCCAGCCTCCTGAACAAGCCGGTTTCCGAAAGGGCTTTAGCACCATAGACCACATACATACCCATCGGCAAATTGTACAGAAGTCCGAAGAGTACAATTTGCCACTATGTCTGGCGTATGTGGACTATGAGAAAAGCCTTTGATTCCGTCGAAATTTGGGCGGTGCTGCAGTCCCTTCAGCGGTGCCAAGTTGACTGTCGGTATATCGAAGTATTGAAGTGCTTGTACAGTAGGGCTACGATGGCTATCCGAGTACAGAACCAGAGTACGAAACCTATCCAATTGCGGAGAGGTGTAAGACAGGGTGACTTCATATCCCCGAAACTCTTCACCGCTGCATTGGAAGACGTTTTCAAGCTTCTGGACTGGAAAGGATACGGTATTAACATCAACGGCGAGTACATCACTCACCTTCGATTTGCCGACGATATAGTCCTTATGACAGAATCGCTGTAGGACCTAAGCACTATGCTCAATGACCTCAATAGTGTTTCCCAACGGATAGGTCTTAAGATGAACATGGACAAAACAAAGATCATGTTTAATGTCCATGTCACACCTATGCCGGTAGTTGTTGGGAACACTAAGCTCGAAGATGTTGTTGAGTATGTTTACCTGGGACAAATAGTCCGACTAGGTAAGTCCAACTTCGACCGAGAGGTCAATCGACGGATTCAAGTCGGCTGGGCAGCGTTCGGGAAGCTACGACACATCTTCTCGTCAGGCATACCTCAAAACCTTAAAACGAAATTGTACAACCAGTGCGTGTTGCCAGTGATGACTTACGGAACTGAGACGTAGTCCTTCACTGCTGGCCGTATGAGAAAGCTCAAGGTTGCTCAGCGAGCTATGGAGAGGGCTATGCTCGGAGTTTCTCTGCGTGATAAACTTAGGAATGAGGATATCCGCAGTAGAACCAGAGTAACCGACATAGCCCAACGAATTAGTAAGCTGAAGTGGCAGTGGGCCGGCCATATAGCTCGAAGAACCGACAACCGATGGGGGAGAAAGGTTCTCGAGTGGCGGCCTCGTACCGGTAGGCGAAGTGTAGGGCGTCCCCCCACGAGATGGAGTGACGACCTGGTAAGACATGCAGGAAGTCGATGGTGCATCCATGTGGTGGCTCAGGACCGTGCTTTGTGGCATTCTTTGGGGGAGGCCTATGTTCAGCAGTGGACTTGTGAAGGGATATATATATATATATATATATATATATATATATATATATATATGATATATATATATATATATATATATATATACATATATATATATATATACTATTTCTAAAATAAAAACGTGTACCTTGGTAACGTCTTGGTGTTGTCTTAAATAAAATTAATAGATTAGTATTTGAACGAAAGACCGTTATAATCTTGTAATTGTAGTTAAATTACTGTATACTTTATGGTATGTAATGGCCTGCGTTCGCGATTTTAATGATCGATCAGTCGACCTGAATGACCCTGTACGTAGTTTTTACCCCCACCACTTTTCGTCACACAAAAGGTTGCGGATCAGAATTACAAAACCCTACCATAAAAAGTTTCACTTCAATATACAATTTATCGAATATACTGGATGACTTTTTTATCGTCTGGAAAATAATATGGTGCTTTTTGTAAGTGGAATAGAAAATATACTCGAAAGTATTTGCTAAATATAGCTGATAGGCAAAATCTCTGTAAACCAAAGAAATACATAAAAGCAATTCATCCTACGGCATTTGCGTAAAAGTAAAACTATAAATAGGTGATATTATTTTAAACGGCGTAGGCTACCATTCCATCTTAGTCCTTACGGGTTGCTGTGGCCGTTGTTTGTGGCCGTGTTGCTGTGTGCATAGACATCTACATTTATCCTCGATTACGAATCAAAATGCACCCGTGAGGACTAAGATGGAAAGCCTCGTTTCCAGTAAAAAGGGTCTCCGGTTCTCTACACTCACTATACGAAACACAGCAGCATTAAGCTGCTATTTTACGCTGGTATTCTGTGAGAGCGTGGTCGTTCCCCGGTCGAGCCGACCCATTCGTGTTACAACTATACCAGAAATATAGCTGCAGCATGGCTCTACCACGTAAAAACCACCACGCTTGTTTGTCACCCTTATCCTATAAAAAAATGTAGTAGATGATGCTATTCATAGATTTAGTATATTCTTAGATTGGCAATGTAAAAGAGAAAGGGCATAGCATATGCTAATGTTAGAACGAGATAAAATGGCTATACCATACACGTACACGCTATCAGCCTGTATCAGCCT